CACAAGAGCCTAGGTATTTATTTTTATACAAAAGTCATAATAGAAAAATTAAGGCCAAAGCACAGCACGTTAATTGTTTCCAAAAACAATTACTATAATGCTTCTATAACTGATAAGAAATGAAAAATTGTGATTACGTTGAAATAAATTTGCACTCCCGTGTAATTTAATCTTAATAAATATTCTTGCACTTATTTACCATAACAACATAACAAACAAAGTAATCTTAGTCTAGACTCAAACAGTTAAATTGGAGTCGTAATAAAAGGAAAGATTATGGTTCATGTATATTGTAATTTAATTGTTCATAATTACATAACAATTACCTGTCGCATAACAAAAGGCAAATTCTATCGTAGCTTTTGTATGAAAATAGGTACCCAAGTATATCAAGGGGATGCTGGCTGTATGTTCATTTTGCGGTATAAGTGCACCAGATTTTAACAATTGTATGAGATGTAAGAGACAACTACCAGAGAATGTTAAGGCGATATCAATTTTTTCTGGTACACCTCTTAAAAAGGAAAACGCCGTTCCTGTTAATGTAAGAATATTTATTAAATCTTTTTTCCATGTCTATTAATATAAAGACAATTGTCATCAAAATTGTGCTAGTTGCTTAAAACTTGTCCCGTTGTAATTGCATATAAACATCTCATACATTCGCTTCAAACGTTTAATGACATTTAGCACAAATTCTTGTATTTCAGTCATTTTACAAAAAAACTGAATCCAATTTGGCTCAAAAATTAGAGCGAGAAATTATCTTAAAGAGAGGTAGAGGAAGAGGTCGGATTACTAGAGCGAAACAAATTAAAGAGCCAGGTATGACAAATTTCGCGTTATTAATGCAGAGATTATGATGCTTCAATTTTGTTTTTTTAAAAAAAAACGTGCATTTATTATAGAATGTTTGACTATATCTTCGGATGAAGAGGATGACAATAGGAAGCAAAAGCGACTGGACGAAAATAAAGAAATAACCACATCATCGACCTCAGCTAACAATGAAGAATCGGAAACAATTCTCGAAAAAGAACCAGTCATAACTAATAATTCAGTCTCTCCAACAACTGTTGAAAATACTACAAATTGTCAACATCCAACAAGTACATATACCAATACATAATAGACTAAGCTCAACAATTAACCTTGTTATTATCATTTATTATGCTGTCAATTGCAGGCGGAGGGAAAGGACAGATATTACAAATCGTAGTACGTTTTTGTTCTGTCGTACTGTAAGAATAGGATCCTATAAATATATTCCAAATGATAAAATTGTTATATCGTCGAGTGGCTTAAAACTTGAAGTGCCACTTTTAGAAGATGGTAAGTTTACTTTAGCACGTAGTTAAATACTCGTTCAACTGATATTATTGATTTAATAAAACGTACTCCATTTATTATGTAGAAAAGTCGTTTATCACCCTTGAAATTAAGATTAATGATTTGGTTAAAGTCTTAATACATTTTGCCAAATCAATGCCAGTTTTATTTTTTTATACAAATGTAGCCACTGGCTTGAAGATAAGAGATTTGTTAGGGATGCAAGATCCTAAAGGTCCATACTTTGATCCTGCTAGTAAAGGTACAACAAATACTTCGTTATTACTAAATAAATAATTGAACGAGCATCTCAATATTAATGTCAATTGCGTTTTATTTTCTTTTCTTTGATTTAGATCATACTCACAAAAGGATAACACTCCTACCGGAAAAGATCACAGACGAGTCCAAAACAATACTAAAAGACTTATATAAATCAATATTTGAGGAATTAAATTCAAAAGAAGCTAATGATATTCTTGTAAAAGCATCCCCAAAAACAGTAAGTTTTATTTGTAATATTAACAATTTATTGAAATGAATATTCATAATATTAAATGTGCTTAAAATAATTTATTAAATATTAAATTACTTACGCTTAGACGTCTCAAGTACAAACTTCAATGAAGAAACAAACATCAACCACTTCAAACAATACGAACTCAAATGGAGTTATACAAACGTAATTATCAAATTAATTTTCTTTGTAAAAGCTTTTTTAAATAATTATATAAAAAAATTATATTAATTCTTTTTTCTTTCATTTTTTTTTTTTTTAGTATCACTGTGTATCCTCCACCTCCGGCTAAAGGAGGTATAGCTATTAATACTGAAGACTACACGTGTCTTGCCGAGGATCAGTTTTTAAATGATGTCATTATAGATTTTTATTTAAAATATTTAATGTTAAAAGTACTTTCTCAAAGTGATAATAACAAAACTCACGTATTCAGTTCGTATTTTTATAAAAGATTAACAAGTCCCCATACACAAGCAGCAGAAAGCACGGAAAATCTAACAGCTGCTGCTAAACGACATGCCAGAGTTCAAAAGTGGACAAAAAATGTTAATATATTTGAAAAAGATTTTGTCGTTATTCCTATTAATGAGAAGTAGGCTAAATTTTATCATTAATATAATACGTATATTATTATTATGTGATAATGTAATTAAAAATTTCCAGTGCGCATTGGTTCTTAGCTATTATCTGCTTTCCTGGCTTAGTCGGTACAATAACACCAAAAACAGAATCAAAAGGTGAAAATGAAAAATCGCCACATAGAAAGAAAAAAGACTTAAAAGTACAGGCATTGACGATTGGCAATACAACCATTACACCAGTAAGTACTATAACAATAGATACTAACGAGGATGGCTCGGAAAGAGATGAAGCTGAAGGCGATGATGAAGAAATGGAAAGCGATAGCGATGAGGATGTGAGTTTTATCATATATACGATGGTTTTTAATTAAGCCTTCGTTACATTTTCATACACACATACGCTCATATAATGACGGACTAATTAATTATTGTTTATTTCGTTTAGGATGACTCCGAATTAAAAACAACAAATACTGAGCAACCTGAAAGAACAAACAGTCAGACTCCACCAAACAAAGAAATAACAAAAGTGTAAGTTTTCTATTTTCTAATAATATTCCTGTATATTTATAATTAATGTTAAAGTCACTATCACTATCACTATCACTATCATAACAGTGATATTTAATGATATTTAATTATAACGATCTTTGTTCCAGTCCTTGCATATTAATATTCGATTCGCTGGCCGGAGCTAGTCGAGCGCGAGTTGTAGCGACATTACGAGATTATTTAAGTTGTGAATATCAAGCAAAAATGGGCGCAGAGAAGCTCTTTTCGAAAGATACGATAAAAGGTGCCTGTCCAAAAGTGCCACAGCAATCAAATTTCACCGACTGCGGATTGTATGTATTGCAGTATGTAGAAAGTTTCTTTCAGGTAACAATAATATTTAATAATACGTTAATTTTACCAATGATAATACAACATCTCTAAGCTACAATAATTCGTTGCAGATTCCCATTACGGATTATACATTACCTATTAAGACATTAAAAAACTGGTTTGAAGAAATTGTTGTTACTCGAAAAAGAGAGGAAATAGCAAAATTATTGATCGAATTGGTGAACAATACTAAAGGAAATAAAACAATCAATTTACCGAATTTAGCCTTTCCGACACAAGATGGGAAGCTAAAGCAAAAGTCCGAGAGCCAAGTAGAGACAAGAGCATCAAAAATAGAAATTGAAAATAAAAAGAAACTTGCTGATGCGGGTGAAAGCAAAGTAAATACAACTACGTCAACACCAGAGAAT